CCCAGAGAGAAGATGGTTAGGGTTGGAGATGGTCCCAGAAGATGAACTAGAAGATGACCTTAGTGATTATTGTGACTTACCCTTTACTTTTATCCTGTTATCCAACATGTATGTCATCATCTACCTGGATGGATGACAAAAATGATGCAGCAGACTTTAAAGTCTTTCGACATGCCATCTGGTCTTTGTCTTTTGTTTATTATTAATTAGTGAAATCCACAGTAACAATCATAAGAATAATGAAAAAATATCTGCAGCCTACTTTTTTTCAAATTTACAACAGATGATATTATTACAGAGCTGATTAATAATAATCGTGGAGGGAAAAGGTTTCAGCTTAGTTATGTAATGAATTTACATATGTCATAGTTATTTTGTTTTTGGGATGCAGCTGTTTGATTATACACCTCTCTCTGTTTCATCATCATTACGTTTTGAACTAACAATCTGAAAGACCATGTTTTAAGTCAGAGATGATTGTTGTGAAGTTTTTCTTTATTTTATTATACATTTTTTTCCCAGCAGACCTTGCAGAGGTGATGAGCTACAGCATGGTTCATCTGTCTCCTCCGAATGCAGAACTTGTTTAAAGAAGGACTTAAGATCAGGAATCAACCTTCATGGCCGCTGAAGACATTGGTTCAGAACACACATGACATGAAAAAGATAAATACTTCGTAAAAACAGGGGTTTTCAAAGTCTGAGACTGTGGGCCTCCCCTTAGACGAACCTTGGAAAACAGCGCACACTCACCCACCACCCTTAGTGTACTATTGCTTTGTTTTGCTCAATTCCTGGATGTCTATGGGAATCATGACTATGTTATTTGATCCTTGTAGACACTGGAACAATTGAGCCAAGACAAGCCTAATACTGGCTGTTTTAGAATTACTTGAGACTAAACGAATACAGGTTAAAAAAAAAAAGCCTGTCTCTAAGGTCTTTTATAACGATTTCTGACTCTGTTGAAAGTGGGAAAAACGGTAATTTTCCCCAACACTGCTGTACCTTGATTCTTTTAACAAAACTCACACACATTTTTAGGCTAATTTTATCTATAATTTTGATAACTCAATGATAATCAATATTATTAATTAATATTTTTTCCCTTACATTCCCCTTTGAAATTGTTTGAAATTGTTTCCAACTTTGAAATCCCCTGCTCTAAGTTATTTATCTGCAGTGTTCATTACTACAAAATTTATTAGAGTCAATTCACCAAACACTGATTATTAGCTGTAGAGCCTTAACATTGGGGTAAAACCTTTTACTGAGGGCGGCCAATAAAAGAAAGGTTCAGCAAAGGTCACATTTTGATCAAGAAGGGAAAAAAAATCTTTTCACTTTTTGTAATTTTTCTCCATTTGCTTTGCATGAAATTTATTGAATAGTTTGATCTCTTTAGGCTGTAAACACTTAAATAAAAACCATCTGAGACGTTTAGATGGAATACACAATCTGGTAATAGACATAGACATGAATTTTTATAAGTGTATCATTACATTTTTAAAATGTCAAATTTGAATTTATAAAGTAGTAACTTCAACTTTTACTCCATAATCCAATAGAAAGAATTGACGCAGGACAAGCTGAGACAGTCCTGCATGAACATTACAGATTCAAGACTGAGTTAGTTTTTGCCCTTTGAATATTTCAATTCACAGGGGATATATGAAAATCTGACACAAATTATTGCCCCGCTGCCCACTCTGTTCAGTGGTCCTACTTCTAGAAAATAGACTGAGGAGGTTCAAGCACCACTACCATACAATCTCTTGCTCAAAAAACTAACAAGGAGGCTCTAAGGTCCCGAGCCAAGTCAGGTAGTTGAAGCATGTGTGGTCTGAGTCTTCTCTCTGCAGCCCTTGCTAGGACATTTCAGGATATTGTAATAGGATTGTGTTGCTATACTATAGAAAGGATAGAGAGAGGTTAGAAGTGGTTACTCATTCTTTCCTCCCCAACAGGAGACATAGAGCAATTGTTGGAACCCCCAAGAAAAGCTTTAACACTAAAACTAAATTAAATGAATTAATAAAATAGAATATACAGACAGAAGAGAAATTAAAGGCCAAAACCAACAGTAAAGTGTCGTAGTAAGTTAGTAGGTAGTAAAGTAGTAAGGTGTTGTTCCACCATATCTGCCAGAACAGCCTTAAATATGAGCACCTGGTGACTGTTAGGACCATAGCGGATAATTCACATCATTTTCATGCTCATTCAAACAACTCAGTTGACCCCTCGTATCTTATGGATGGAGGCATTGTCATCTGTTTTCTCCAATCATTTTTTCTGGTTTTTCCTCTTTAATTTGCTTCACCCCGTGGAGCATCTGTGTATGATATATATATATATATACATATGATGTCAAAAATGACTGACAGAGAACCCT